TAGCAGGGATAGGTGGGTGTCTAGTGGTGAGTCTTCAGCGGACCGGTGGAGCTGATCTCTTTTGTGATTATTTTGCTGTTGAGCTACTTGGGATAGTAGCTTTTGATTGTAATTTTTGTACACTTTAACTCTGTTCAGACTGGATCATGTATATGTATATTCTAGACTCTATATGTATACAGTTGTTCTTTTCTGTGCGGTGTTTCTAGTGTGCTGTGCCGTGTGTAGTGACCAGCCGGGTCGTTACATAAACTTTAAAAATCATAAAAAGTATATTAAAGTCAAACTCAATCTCAAAACTAATTTGTAAGGTGATGATTGATTCTTACTTATATATATATATTATTATGACTTTATCTAGTCAATATGAGATCTTTAATACCCCCCCCCACATTGAGGAATACATCTCTCAAAGTTTGCAAGATTAAATATTTGCAAGTGGTCTAATAATGACCTAATAATAGGTGACAGGATAAGCCCTATCAACAATCAATAATCGTTAGGATAAACTCTAATATACCCAAATACCATATTAAGAAAGTGGATTGGAGCCTAAGTGTCTAACGCAATCTTACAAAATTGGTTTGTATGGCAATGATTGTTCTCTACTTATATACATTATTATGACTTTATCTCTACTCAATGTGGGATCTTCAACACATCATTGAATTTGAAAACACCACAACATGACAACTTATCCACATAACAACATAACATGTGCATTACACAATTCAACTACATATGCATAACAAATCAACTACATGCATTGTTACACATTTAACTAAAAGATCTCTTACAACATAAGTAAGCAATCTAAGTGGCTTGACCCTACTGAACCAACAACAACACAATTTTTTTACACCTGCCAAATCAACAACCAACTTGAATAAAAATCCACGACAATGTGGTTTCTCAAATTTCACAACTTAAACTAGGAAAGTCTAATATTTTTATCAGGGTAGGAAAACTTGGGTGCAAGTCTACCACAATGTTAGCATGCATAACTAAGCCTTTTATGGGATTAACCTGTTGACTACCTTCAAATACTATGCTCCTTTTAGTATTTAGTTAGAGATTTTGGCTTCCAACCTTGTACCTTACTTGGTTTAGTCATTTTATGCACTTATGGCTCGACCTGACCCATACGGATCAACATTTATCACTTTATAATCAGTATATCTTGACATAAACCCTATATTGTGATCACTTATAGATAGTATGACTCAACCTTGAACTTATACTGCATCAATTAAGGTTCTAGAGGAGACTCAACTATTTACTTCAAGAGACAACTTATCAAGAAGGATTTTCAACAACTAGATTCATATAGCACCACAACAATATCCTTATAATGGCAAAATCCAACTTTTTAAAACACTTTCTCCTCTAGTCCTAAGTCAATTAATACAACACAACTTAATGCCTTAAACATTCTCAATACCATCACCTCAACATTTCAACAATGTAATCATCAGTATATATTATACCAAATCAATGTATAGAGAACTCCAACATATATCAACATACAATATGTAATCAACTCAACTTACATACACCATATTCAACATTTAGTCAAATAAACAACACGTTTCCATTTGGCAACTCATGTTCGACATCATTCTCCTTATGCTTGATGTCATTGAGACAGAAAACCTCTAGCTCGCCCACGCCTGACACCGCTCAATCAGCGCATCGTGTGAATGAGGCAGAGAGCCCTTAGGACAATGAAGCCTGACATGGCTAAACCCACACTTAGCTTCATTTAATTAGAGAGATCTCCTTTTAACTCATGTTAGATGCTACTAATCCTACGCTTGGTGTTAGTGAGGTAGAGAGCCTATGGTCTATGTCATGACCATAGCTTTGAAGCTACGCCCAACACGAGGATGAATTATGCACTTGGGAGATTCACAAATTTGGCTCTTCACACTTGAAACTTAGGAAATCCAAGCATGCAAGGGCAAAAATAAACACTACACATCATAAACATTTCATTTTTCACCAAAACAACTACGTGCAACCAAGAATCAATCATTATTCATCCAAAATCTTCACAACATATTGAAAGCTCCCAAAACCAACACAACCAAACTCACATTTAGCGAGCGTTTGATAGAAGAGAATTTTTTTTATGTCCAATAATTATAGTTCTTGAAAATCATAAAAATTATGGAAATCACGATTCATAAAAATGATTAAATTTATTTGGTTGATCATAAATATTTTTTGGGAATGTTTATAAATATTACATGAGAACCATATGTTTTTAATGCATTAACTAAACAAATTAAAGTAACATAATATTTTTACTACAATAAAATATTCCTTTTAACTCAAGAATGTTGGATTCTCTCCTACCTCCAAGGGAATAATTTGGTGGAAAACTCGTATAAAAAAATTACTGGAAAATCATGTTCCCCAAGAAAGTTATTTTTAGATAATAAGCTAAACGTGAAAAACTAACATTCACAACTTTAGATTCTTGAAAAAATAACAACATTTCACATATCAAACATCTCCTTAATGAGGAGTGAGAGATAATGACTTATTTCTCACTCTTTAAACAAATGAGAGAATTTCCTAAAACATACAAAATCATGTGGTAAACTTACACTTAGTGGAATATTTTGTGCTACCTCATGTGATAGTTGTATAGCTGTACTTGATTGACACTTATGTCATATATGACTTTTACTAGATTATTGTACTTATGTCATTTATATTTGTATAGTTATTTTTACACTTATATGCATGTTATATAGTACATATTTATACATTTGTGAATGTATGACTCTAAGTAGTAGTAGTTTCGCTGTTAGTTGGAGATTTCACAAGTGTAGTAGCCATGACGAGTTGTTACATAAATCGAAAGAGAGTGGTAAGCAAAAACTAGCACACAACAATCTTCAACTTTGTCATGGTTTCCATTGTGGTCATGCTTTCCTAGGCTTCAACTTCTCTTTGAATTTTTTCTTTGGCTGAGATAACTTTGTTGTTTTTTCCCCTTAGATGTGTGAGATGGTTGCCTACTTGAGATCTTGAGGATGGTTGGGCTTGCTAGATGGGGTGAGATAGTTGGGCTTGCTGAATGGGCTGTGAGGGTTGGGTGGGCTGACAGGACCATGTGAAATCATGACCCATATGATCTAACTTCCCTTTATTCACAAACTTCCCCCCATGATGGACAACTACCTCAAAATATGCATCCATATCAAGCAACTCTTATAAAAATCCAAAACACACATATTTTAATATTAACCTATTGTAATGTATATTTACAATTATAGAAAAATAATTAATTAAAAATTAATACAAACATAACTAATTAATAGAAACAATTAAATATTCATAACACATTTATAATATATGCATACATAACAACCAACACACCAGTGGGCCAACATAGTAAAAAGAATGAAGATTAGTAGGCCAGCATATGCAAATAAATTAGGATCAGCATATCACTGTATCAAAGGGCCAACATATGCATGTATACGTTGGTCAACAATGTACAAGTCAGTGGGGGGCCAATATATGCACAACACGCAACACCATTTTTTTTTTACTTTATTTAATCGACAAAGTGTATCATGCATTCTTTGGGGCCACACAATAGCATCAAAGGTTCACACAATAACCAAAACACACCACAAAATGTCAGGAAACCATTGTTTGGGACCATACAAAAAGCAAAATCTATCCAATAAATATCAAAACGCAACTCGTACCCTAGGCCCACTCTCGGCCCTAGTCCCATACTCACCCTAATAAGACCATTTAGTCAAACACAAAACCAAAAAACCCTAAACTCAACACTTACCCGATTTGAACACGACCCAGACATGACTTCTTATTTTTCACATCAATCACGAACGAACGCGACTTTTTCTTCTTCCAAGACCTAATAACAACAACAACACTTCTCTCTCGTGACTCACGGTGAACGAACTTGGCTTCTTCTTCTCCCAAGCCCTAAAAACAACACTTCTTTTGTCGTAAATTTGGGAAAGGAAGGAGTTAATCCATGTTGGAAATCCACGTTGGAAATAACCTAAATAATCACAAAATTAATTGTTTTCCACATGGATACTCCTTAACAGTGTGTGAGAAATTTAGGCGGAAGGCAAACATTACAAGCATTTTTTATAGGTGGGCCTAAATTAAATCCAAAAATTAAAGTAACTAAATTAAAACTTTAAAATATTATAAGAGATCAAATTAGGGTTTTAGCCAAAAAAATAATACAATACAAATAAAAAAGTGAGCAAGATCCTTTGGAAATAAAAAGTCAACGAGATATTTTGAAAATAAAAATGATTATAATTTGTATACAATAAATGAGTTATGAGACTCTTATGTTGTTTCTGATTATAAGAAATATAGGTCTACTTTTTGTTTTGTTTTTTTTTTTTGATTCGTCCCTGGAGTATCCACCACCGATAGTGGTGACTAATCTCTTCGCTACGTTGGAGACACCTCAAAGGGTGAGATAACTGGCTCTAAGATTTAACGCGACTGCATATACAAGACAAAATTTGAACCCCTGACCTTGCTTAAACGTGGATCAACCCCTACCGCTGAACCACACGCTTGGGGTTGAAATATAGGTCTACTTTAAATGTATTAATTGATATTTTTTTTATTACCCTTAATTTATCATGGGTCTATTAATGAGTTATCTACTCATTTTTCACGAGAGTCTATTTCTTAGACAACTAACACTATAAATCATGAAAAGATTATTCCTAGCTCTCAATAATGTCATTAAGTATAATTATTATTTATACTATTTATCTCTATGAATATCTTAAAAATTCTCTCAAAAATAAAAATAAAAATAAAATCTTAAATTATAATATTATTAATTATAATTAACTAATTTAACTAATTTTATTTATTTTAATGAATTAAGTGTTTTAAAAATAAAAATAACTCATTTATTCTCCTTCACACAAAGAGTGTGACAGTAAAGAACAAGACCAAGACAATGATAAAATCAGCAGCGCGTTAGAAAGTTGCGTAGGTTCGTAATGGTTGGTTTGTTCCCGTCATTTTTGTCATCTATTAGTGCCACCAGCCAATAGACACTGACACTTCTAAGCGACCCATTCTCCATTTTTCAATCCACAATCGTGGAGCCATAATCCCTCACTGCCTCTAATTCTGCATTCACTCACTCAACACAACCAATGGCTTCCGCTTCCCTAATCAACTCCTTCACCTGCTCCTCGCGCTCTCCCACTCGCCGCCACTTCACCGCCGCCGCCGCCACCTCATCTCTCCGACCGCCCAACACCAGACTCTCCTGGCCTTCGCCCGTCGTCTGCAAAGCCGTCTCCGTCAAGCCCCAAACCCAAGTCGAGGGTCTCAACATTGCTGAAGACGTTACCCAGGTCAGTGTCCCCGAACTCTCCGATTCTCGCGATTTCGATTCTCAATTTTCTTCGCCGCTGACGTGGCGCCGCAGCTCATAGGGAAGACGCCAATGGTTTACCTCAACACCATCGTCAAGGGCTCTGTCGCCAATATTGCCGCCAAGCTTGAGATTATGGAGCCGTGTTGTAGCGTCAAGGATAGGTTAGGAGAGGACTTCACTCGTTGCTTCTTCAACTTGCCAGATCTTGTATTATCGTGTCATCCTATTTGTTAATTATGATGTGGTTTCAAGATAAATTTCTAGTCAATGGCTGTGGAAAAATATTTTAGATTAACCTTGTGTATAAATTAAGATAAACCGGTGTTTTCGAATTAATCATGGTTTCGAATTGAGTTCTCATGAACTTTACCTTGGTCTTTGTGGTTAGAAATGTCCTATTTTAGTTTTTATGCATACTGTTTTGGTTTTCTTTTAGTCCTTGTCGTCTACTATTATATGGAATAAAAGATAAAGTTCATAAAATTATAGGGACTGCTAAAAGAAAACAAAAATGGTGTGTATGGGGACTAAAATGGATTTTTTTAATTATAAAGATTAAGAAGTAAAGTTTATGAAACTATAAGGAGCAAAAGGGTGTTAAAACAAAAAATTAAAATCATGTTTTAAAAACATGAAATAAAGTGAGAACAATGTGTTGTTTTTTTGTGACTGGAATGCACTCTTTGAAATGTGACCTATACATGAGGTAATAAAATTGATATTTTTTGCCCCTTTTTCCTTTTTGCAAGATGAACAAATACTAAAGAATGTACTGCTGGCATTTCTCTTGTAATTATTAGTGAGCATAGAAAATGAAAACAAAATATTTCCTTAAACCATACAAGCCCTAAAAGTTTCAGATGACAAAAACAGCTTGTCTGATTTTGTTATTGATTTCTTGGCTGTTTTTTTCTTTATTGTTTCTCTTGTTATTTGTTAGGTTGACAAGGATAGCTTTACACTAGTATTAGATATTAATGTGGATGTTCCTCATACTCTTTATATGACACAAGTATAAACACTTGGTTACGTATCTACTATTTGGTGATAATTTCAGTTATTGTTAGGTATAAACTCAAAATTTCACATATGAGGCTGCTGATGGAATTTCTATGAGCCTGCATTAGTTATTTGACATTCTGGCCACATTAATTTGCATATTGGAGGTTCATTCTGTCTTTAGTATTTTTTTTTTCTTTAATGCTTCAAATTTTTCATCATGCAGGATAGGTTTTAGCATGATAAATGATGCTGAGCAGAGAGGAGCTATAACACCTGGGAAGGTAAAAATGATAGAAAGCAAATGTCAATGTCATAGTATGTGTAATATGTGATTTCCCTATAATTCTTGCTGCTTGTCCACCATGGCTAATGCTGACCACTTAAACAACTTATTCTTCCCATGCTTGGCATTTGCTAGTTTGTATCAAATGGTTTTATGGTTGATCATTATGGACGCAACAAAATGAATTTTTTGTTTGGGTAAGTTTTCTTAAAACAATTTTGAGATATTTAATTTCGTTTGGATACAACAAAAAAACCAGCTTTTATGTAGTAAATCAACTTTAGAAGAAAAAAAGCTCTTGAAAAATAATCATCAGCTTTAAATTTTCAGATGCAAGAAAACAACTTATTTAAGAAAAAAAAAACTTTGTTTACAAATTTCAGCTGTTGTGCCAAACATATAGCTTTCTTTTGCAAACAACTTTTTTCCTTCTAAAAACCAGATGAAATGGTGGGAATTAGTCTTTCCCAAACATGCTCTAAGTGGGTTATGTGTTTATTATAAACTTTTCTGTGATCAATATGACATGTTACACAACTTTACTGGGATATTTATTGGTTTTGACAATTCTAGAAACTATAACTTACTCGGGACAGTTGGCAAGTCAAACTTTTTGCTTTGGGGTGCAATGAAGCAGTATTGTTTCCTTTACCTTTATGCTGCATCTATGTGGGTGCATCATACGAGTCTTTTGGAAACGCACACTGTGGTCTTCATAGGGGCTAGTTAAAGTTTTTTGTGATTTACTTTATTTCATATTAGCTGTGGCCAACTAAATTCAATTTTGCTTAAAATTTTTGTCATTCTGAGTTAACTTGTTTCTCACATGCATTTCAGACTATATTGGTGGAACCTACCAGCGGGAACACAGGAATTGGTCTTGCTTTTATTGCAGCTTCAAGAGGATATAAGCTCATTTTGACAATGCCTGCTTCAATGAGTTTAGAAAGACGAGTTCTTTTGAAAGCATTTGGGGCTGAGCTTGTTTTGACTGATGCAGCAAAGGGTGTAAATGGAGCTGTTCAAAAAGCTGAAGAAATTTTAAAAAATACCCCCAATGCATACATGCTTCAACAATTTGACAATCCCTCAAATCCTAAGGTAAATGATAACAGCTTTTTCTGTGTTTAAGACATGAATCCTATGTTCTTGGAAATGGAACCCATGCAGGGTGCACCATAGTGGTGTAGTCACAAAATATAGGTTAATAGAAATACAAATGTAAATTTTCCCTTAAAGATAAATTCATTTTGCTCCAGATTAGGGCACCAAACAACATTTACATCCCATTACCACCTCACTTGGTCATCATTCCTCCATTTTCTTATCAAGCTAGTGAACTTAATTAAAAGAAAATGCTCATAGCTGTGACTTTGAGAGCATAACCAGGTTTTCCCAGACATACCAATGAGCCTACTCCAAACTCCAAGCCCTTCTGTATCTAACAGCTGGATAATGTATTAGTAAGACTAGCCAATTATGAAGTGTCGTATCCCATCACACAGACATACACCTTTCTGGAGATATGACAGTGTTTAGTTTGTGCAGCTGCAAGCCTGCAACATCTTGTTATTGTTGATTTTTGTAAGAACTGTTCTCAAAATGAATGACCTAACTTTAGAACTCTAGCTGACAGCAACAAGTATTTTGTCAATGTTGTTAGGGTTAAATCTAGTAGGAACTGTTTTTCAAAATGAATGACCTAACCTTATAACCCTAGTTGGCAGCAGTCAGTAGTTCATCAGACCCATCCTGGGTTACTTTCTCCAAAGGGATGATCTTGGTAATGTTTTTCACAATAAACTGTTTCAAATTACTTTCACATGCACTTTTAACATTGGAAAAAAGCATAATTTCAAACACTTCTTCACTTGGTTTTACAAACTAGTAATCTGTCAACTATTCTTTTTACTATTGATTTGATGATATTACTTGTGATAAAAGATGAGATGAAATTGTTTTTTTTTAATTTTTAATCTTATCTTCTGTCTTTTCTGCCTGTGGTCTTTTAGAGGAGTTTCTTCTCTAATATCATATGCAAAGGAACTGCTTGGTTCTTTTCATCTGATTTGTTCTCTTTCTTTCTGATTTCCTGTTGTTGTGTCCTATATAGCTCTAAGATGATTCATGATCTTCCTTTTCTGTATACTTTCTCTCCCTCAATGCATTCTGTTTTGGGCTTTCAGCAACACTTCATCATGACACATGGGACACACACACAAGATTAAAGTTAGTTACACGGTTCCAAGGATAAACTAAGTCATGCAGCCAGTTTAACAATTTTTGAAATTTTGGCTGCTTTGGCACTATCTTCTAAAATTGCTATATAAAGGCTTGGGAAAATGTTCAAATTGTGAGCCAATATTGTTTGTCCCCTATGCATTTAGTTAAATTCAAGTTGATCGAAATGTCACAAATAGAAAGCATGGTGGGCCCTATGATCTGATATATGAAGTTGGATTCAACTATACAGGTACATTTTGAGACGACTGGCCCAGAGATATGGGAAGATACGAGAGGAAAGGTAGATATTTTAGTTGCAGGAATTGGAACTGGTGGAACTATTTCTGGAGCTGGCCAATTCCTAAGACAACAAAATCCAAAAATACAGGTAAATCTTTCTCAATGGCATAGCCAAACCCAAATTTTTCTAATAATATCAATCAATATAATGTTGGAAAAGATTGGTCCATAAAATACTTTGGGCAAGTGTAAATGTATTTACGTACTCCATATACTTGTGGTCATGTCTCATCATTTGAAGCATAATTTCTTTTAAGCTTTTTACTTTGTTGGGTTCCTTTAAGCATTTTTTCATTATGTATCAGATTATTGGTGTCGAGCCTCTGGAAAGCAACATACTTACAGGTGGAAAGCCAGGTACAAAAACAGAACAAGTTTCTACACATTCCAAATCAAGTATTTTAATTCTAGTTTTCTCTAAGTTGTATCTTTTTTATTTTTTTCCTGCTAAACCACAGGACCTCACAAAATTCAGGGTATTGGGGCTGGTTTTGTGCCCAGGAATTTGGATCAAGATGTGCTTGATGAAGTCATAGCGGTCAGTTCTTATGCTTTCCTGTTGTCTTTTCTATTGATGTTATAATCCAATGTGTTTTGTTGTTTCCTAAACGGGGTGTTTTAAAAGTTTGTTACTAATTATTTCCAAAAGCAATTACTTGAACTTGTAGTATTTAAATTTGAATCATTCTGCTTGATTCTGTTTTATGGGTTTCTTCTGGCCAACATGTAAGTATTATTATCACGATAAATGCTCCTTGTCTACCGACCATTTCTGAATATATTGAGTGACATGTGATATTCTTCCTCTTATTAATTGCATATTGATGTTAGCCTTGAATGAAAACATCATTGCTATATCTCAATGCGCCTCATCTAGGGCAAGTAGCTATTAGCAGTGCCTTGACATTTTTTATTTCCTATGCTTGTATTTGCTTGAACTGTATCATGATATGATCATAGTCGGAGGTTATAATCCTTGTCAAATAAATGAAATGAAAAGTGTATTCTTACTTCCCAATTTTGCCATGTCTATTTCCCTGTAGTTTGATGGTATCTTGTATGTTTCCTTCTGATTGTCTTGCATGCATACTTGTACTAGTTAGTTGAATTATTCACATGTATTAATTGTCATCTATTCCTGAATTTTAATGATCCCATTCGTCAACCGTTTCATGGCAAGCTTTGCTGATATTTATATTTGGTTTGCAGTGTGGTGCACCACTATAGGTTGCACATATTAGAGAATTGAGAATATCTTTCATGGACTGGAATGAATTATGCAAAATTGGTGTTGACATTTGATTTTTATATTTGCCTAGCATTTGCTTACTGTACTGGCCAATAATGATCATTTATTAATACACTGATTTCTTGTTTCAAAATTCTGGTGATTGATTTTCTTTCTCAATTCAGGACCAGTATTTCCACATCTAAAGCTGTGTTCAGTTGGACTGATTTTTATGCATGTGATATGGGGACCATCTGACCTGGATAAATGCTGAATGTAATGATTTTCTTGGTCTTATTATAATTAATCTCCTCTTTTGTGAATTGAGCAGATATCAAGTGATGAAGCAGTTGAAACTGCTAAGCAAGTAGCACTCCAGGAAGGCTTGCTGGTTAGTTTTTTATGCTCATCTTTTCAACTGTATGCGTGATTTGAGTTTCTTAATGTATTCTGGTGTGCATATCTTGTGCACTTACACAGTTGCATACGACATGCCTGGGTTGCTTAAAACAATCATGCACAAAATAGTGGCATTTAGCACCCGCACTATATTAAATAGACTTAGTCATGTTCTTGAATAGTTGAATGATTCTTCCGACACCCTATTATGAAGGCATAAGAAATTGTGTTATTTATCTTGCATGTTTGGAGTTATTTTCTTCAAATCTTGTGACATCTCAAGTCTGACACCAAAGAAGAGTTCGAATATGTTGGCTTTATACTTTGCCTCTTACCTGCTAACTTCAATTGGACAGGTGGGGATTTCTTCAGGAGCTGCTGCCGCAGCTGCATTGAAGGTTGGAAAGAGGCCAGAGAATGCAGGAAAGCTTATTGCGGTATGTATATTTCCTGAAAAGATAAAAATCAATACATAATAATTGTACAAGGAATTTAATCCATATGGAATGGGAAGGATCTTTGCTGAATTTACAAAAGCAAGCTGAAAAGCATCATACAGATGAAATATGTTATGCATTATGGCACATTCTGCCAATCTGATCATATTTTGTTAAGCATATTTTGTTTTTTTCTCTTAACTGTCTGACCTTTGAAGCAAGGTCTAGATTTAGGTTCTGAAGGACAAGTGTGCAGACTATGTTTTATTTGGTTTGTGATGTTATTTATGTATCCAGTTGCTTGTATTGTAGCACACTGCTGATTTTCATCCATTTAGCTTATACGTGTTTATCATTTCCTATTTGCTCGTCTTTTCTGATTGGTGAGTTGGTGTTAAGGACCTGGAAGGATGGACTAAAAACTTAGCTGGATTTGTCTATAGTGTTTAGCGTGAATCCACCTAGTTTTCAAGCTCAGAAGGCTGGAAATGCTTTGCATTCTGTATTATGTGCTTTTTCCCTGCTATTATTGTGGGCTAAGTTTCTTCTCTCTTTCCTTTCATTTCTGCTAGGCACAACTAGCCTGAATTGTATAATTTAAAGCAAATTTTTATTCTCCTTTTTCGCGAGGGGTCTTTGGCATGTAGACAGAAAAAGTATCATTTCACATCCTGCAATATTATTTTTCCTGTTTGCTTTGGTGTTGTCATATGTTGTTTGTTTTCTGCCAACTTCATCGTTTTTTGTACTTAAACCGGCATATAATTTCAAAATATCAGTATTAAATTACACTTCACATTTTAATGTGCATAATATTTGTTTCTTGCAGGTTGTCTTCCCAAGCTTTGGTGAAAGATATTTGTCTACTGTTCTTTTCCAGCAAATTCGGGAAGAATGTGAGAAAATGCAACCTGAGCCATGAAACAACTTTGCTTGTTAATGTTTCATACTTATTCTCTACGAGTATCTGTACGTAAGGCATGACAGTGCGACATGTCCATGTTATGTCCGTGTTTTTTATTTTTGACACTTAAAATTAGATAACTCTGTACAGGTCATTAATTTGACTTAAAGCACAGATTAATGGGCCTTGATTGAATAAGTTTTTTCTTCTCTCTTTGGGGTAAAACTTATAGATGTAGGAATTACTGGCACTGTTGTTTATATCTGACAGCGTAACGAATTTCTGTCCAATTTTTGTTCAAAAATAATTGTTGAAACAGTTTATCTATTGCATTTTGTGCACCCCCTCTCCTTCAGACTCTTGCTCTCGTCTATCTTTAGCAGTAAAACAAATTCACCAAGTCTAAATAAATTAAAAGAATATGAAACCGGGAAAAGTGAAGAATGAATTGTCATTTTCTAGCTGTGACAAATATGATAGTGCAGAGTGCAGCGTGGAACCAGCAAATTAAAACATAGACCTGGATCCAAGGATCCTTTCAACCCTTGCACTATGTTGTGAGAAGAGAGAAATGCACAAGATTCAGTTAAAATTTATTAGTTCATGTGCAACTTTGGGAGAGATTGAAGGGAAGAATATAAAGTAAATAAAGAGGAAATATTATAATATAGCATGTTTGTGTATAATAAATTGATAAATTGATGTCTGCGGGGTTTTTGCCAAGCTACACTACAACTAAAACTAATGTTGCCGTGATCATTAATTGAGTTGATGTGTTGTTACAAATGAAGCCCTCTACAGTTGATCAAACTCTATCGTCAAAAATCTCTTTGAACTTTAAAAAACTAAAATATCATGAAGCAATTTGTATGTGGGTTAGAATATACTTTGGTGGATTTCATTCTTACAAATGAGCAAAACTAAATTAAATAATTTCGGTCATCGATGAAAAAATTAACTGTTAATATTTCAAAAATATGAAAGATTTGTCATGCATGTGTACATAATATTTACTACTGATTTTTTATTATTATTTTTTATATATATATATTTTATCAATGACATTAATTACTTTTTTCTTTAAAGTGAGTCGTTCACTTTAGAACAAATGAATTCACTTTTAATATATATATCTTTGCCTATAAAAAAACAAAAGAACTAGTTTGTGTTTGGTTGGCGCAGCAGTCACAGTGGACTTCATATTGGTTCACAGCACAGTAAAATATAAGACATTGGCATTTTTTTTTTTATAAAGAAAGGGCTTTGATATTTGCACATTTTATTCACTCCACTTCCTTGAGATCAATTCTTATATAAGAATTGAATGGCTATGAACTTAGAGACAAAAGTGTTCTCACCATTTTTTTTCTTTCTAAAATATAAGTCACATGCCCCAAAGCTCAAAAAGGTAGGGTGACTTTTTATTCCTGTGCACTTTATAAACTGAAGAATATGATCGCCAGTGGAAGCGAATCTGAGGACCACATTATAGCTAGAAGCTAGTAGTTAGGTAAAGGGCATGGACATGAAAAGAAGAGGAAAAGTGAACTTCGCCTAATTAATCTGTTCATACTGTAGAGGGCATTGCACATTTTATAAGAAAAATGATGTTTCCATTCCCACTGGCTGTATAGACTTGGAGAGGAAAGAGGGAGCCAAGACATAAAAAGAGA